ATACGACGTTTCTGGCTGGGTTCTTGCTCAAAAATTGGCTTTTTAAAAAATCAAAAACCACAGGTTGCAAAATATTTATTGTTTTCAAATATTTTATATGGGCTTCTAAGGGGTAACTCGTGAAAGTAGAACCCTATTGGACGAAAATTTTGTCCGTTTTGCTCTATCTCGCACCGTTTGGGTGCTAGGGAGCATTTCTTGGCGAAAATAAGGTAAAAACGACAAAATGGTCTAATAAATCGTAAAATTTAACTCGTCTGGGGTGTCAGCGCCGCAGGCCTTGCTATATGTGCGCCAGGCGCGTCGCAGCGTAACAGTGTTTCGTGATATATCGCGAAGCCTGTTACGCGAGACGTGGTCTGGCGTACATATAGCTAGTTTAATGCGAATATATTTATAAATGCAATTTTTTTACAGGTATTGATCATCAGCGTTTGCTGTCATGTTCACCTTCCATTCTTTAATGTTGCAGAAATCAACGAAAAGCGGATGAACCAATGCAGTGTTCATGAAACGGCATTAAAGCGATCATCGTCTTGTTCACTGTCAGACTATTCATCCAGTTCCCCCAGTAAAGTTGCTGCCACTGAGTAATTTTAATTATGTTTTGTATTTTTTTTTTTTTTTTTGGGTCCATGTGGCCAACTGTTGGCGGTTATTGTGCTGTTTAATTTGAAAAATTTATAATAAAGATTAAGCAAGCAGTTTAATTGTATATCATTACCATGTTTTCAATTTTATTTATTTTAAATGACATTTTAACACCAAATAGACATACATACAGAACAAAACTAATGCATTCCGGTCGAGCTGAATTGCAAAAGAATGGGGTATAAAACGAAAATCGCTATGGTTCAACATGACGACTTCCGTTTTCTTGTCTTTTGCATTCTTCTCGTCAAACCGGCGAAGCCGCCAAATCGAGCCGATTCTACCTAGTGTAATTGGCACTGTCCAACTCTTCTCCATACAGCCTGTTCACAACCGCCTGGGGTCGCAGGGGGATGATGCGTGGTACGGTGCCGGGCTGCGCCAGGCCGCCGACCACCGCCCCGCTCGAGCAGCCGAGGACCCCGTCACAGAGTCAAGGCCCAACATCACCCCCGAGGCCATGAGGGAGGCCGTGCGACGGGCCGAAGCGGCAGCGCGCAGGGACGCCAAGAATGCGGTCAAGGAGGCCACTGAGGCGGTGCGTGAGGCTGCGGAACCCCCGGTGAGTATCAATTCGTCCTCCTGCTTCTCTGCACAAGCCCGCTTTAATGCTTTTTTTAAAAGCAGAAGGGCGGGCAAAAAACTGATTTAAACGGGGGCGACTTGGCGTTG